TATATAGAATACAATATATACATTATACTTATTTGAATAATGATAATAGTGTTCACATACACCGACACAAACTGTAGATGGACCAGAGCGAGTTGACGTGCTATATAAATGCCAGTGAGATGGAAATGTGTATTAGACCTTACAATGGAGGGTTTAATATAGATATCATTGGTAGATTGAACACATGTATGCTATAGTACGAGTATAGAGGAAATTACAGTAGTGTAATACATTGTGTAGATTCAATCTATTCCTCGTACCTTACGTCCGTATCGTCTGTACTGAACATTCGACTCAGTCTCTCAGTCTGACACAACAGGAAGAGAAAATATAACATGAAAGTTAGTTTCTTTTTTTTGTTTCAACAACTGAAGTTTCACATCCTCTCGTTGATTGAATTAGAGAATTATAAAGCCAGGCCTGATATTGTAGATCTGTTGTGTACACATACCCTTTCTGACTATAAGTTGATGCTGATTCCTATACAATATATGTCATGAAAATTTTCATATTGTTATTGCAATAGTAACAACAAGCATTTTCATGTCGGTATGAAAGTAGAGGGAGACTCGCATGATAGATACTTAAGCTCGGACTGAGATTAGATTGCGCTTGCTCAAGAACAATGTGATCCTATCGGAGTGATTAGTGAGATGTGATTTAAAAATAAATTTTGACTAATAGGCAGGCCATTTTGTATCAGCCATATGTCAATATACAGCTACGTAGCTTCTAAATTTACGTTGTTGGTTTCGAGCGATCACATATGGTAAAACAACAACACATATTTAAGGAACTATTAGCTCATCTTTCTGCCAAATCTAACTGCACTTGTAAATTGTATTGTATCAATATTAAAATATACGTTTACGTTTGATGATTTTATTGTAGCTATGCAAATACACACCACATTCAAAGCGTATTTGTGTATTTTCATCTATGTGAATGTGTATAGTCAAAGTAGACGTTATATATATATATATACAATCCCTTATAATCTGTAAATTGTGACTTGGCCTGATGTGACCACGGAAACATTCATCAGTTATATGCGTTTCGTTCACGGATGTGTACGAGCACGTGCCTCGATTTGAGGAATATTAACTGACAGATAAGTTAGGGCGAGTTTTGAGGTAGTCACAAGTACTCTATATAAATGTCATGTTGTACGTGTACGTCAACAAAAGACATGTAGGTTCTCTCGGCTTCCGATCATAGAATCACAGCCATCACGTAGAAGTTTCATACAATGTTGACTCTGTCACAAGATGACATACCCGAAACATAGTCACCTACATCACGCCTACAAACCAACTCCCAACCGTACGATCTGGATTGTAAAGTTGGTAGCGAACTAACATAGGGAGCATATATGTGTGCATGTACAGGATATGCGCTTTGTATCTAGCTTCTTCCAAGAGTATGAAATTTGAGAAGCCTGAGTAATATTTTAATAATTTTCGCGGTGTTCAGACTGAATTTCAATACATGAACTTCAACGACGATAGATAGTGTGCGAATACAGATAAATAATTTATTAGGGCACTTTTGAAAAATCAACATGTACAATCTACATAGTCTTTTGATTTACAGTCGATATACTGCCCCCAATCAATCCTCTTAAGTTGAAGTTGATCCTGATGCCAGTCACGAACGATATTATCGAGTATTTCGGTCCTTATCTTCAGTTGTTCTGCATCTGCCTTTATGAGATGGCGGTTTATATTGCACACGGATTCTTTGTGGGATATCATTTCTCGTATTTTAAAGTTCATGAGACTTCTGTACATTTTCAAGTGCTTGTCCGTGCTCTTGAAGTCTGGATTCCTCCTATCGTATTTAGTGGTGGCGTATCCCGGTATGATGCTTAGGTCTTTGTTGAATGTGACACGTCGTTGTGGCAATACCTCGTTGAAATTTTGCCTACGCACCACACTCTTTGGAAGACCGAAAATATGTTCCGGTGTGACGTGTTGTACATTAGGTATAGTGTGGTGACAGATTAGTCCAAAGTCTGACAATGATCTTGCTGTTTGGACTGAGCAGTCAATTGTACCCATCACCAGAGTAGAGGGCGTCATGTTGAACATATTCTTAGTTGAAGTCTCAACTAAACTATTCCTCGTGCACTCAGGTTTAGACTTTTGAAAAAGCATATTTGGTTGAATATCAGACGATACAGGTAACACCGGACTTTGCATATTAGGTGAAGTAGAAAATCCGGGATATATCATATTTTTCGTATGCCTTGCTTGGTATCGAGTGTGACAAGTCTATGTGATAAATATACCGAGAGAGGGAATGAATAGTTTCACCGCAATATTGGATACTTCGAGTATATTAAAATATGTATAAATATATATACAGTAGTTGACTAGTTGTACACAATATATATATATTTGATGTTTCTCTATTTATAGTCTACTATGTACTAATAAAAAGTATAATACTAAGTCCATACAGAACACACACAAGAGAGAGTTTTTTGTCCAGCGATGTCGAGTCAGCGACTGGGGCGGCAGGGCCTGCTGGAGCCTGGAGGTGCTGGGAAACCCCATCAGTGAGCACGCGCACCACTTGCCCGAGCTTTGGACTTGATCCATTTGCTGGGATGGAACATTGGAACATCTATTTTTTTTAGAAATTGTTTTCAGCATATATTGCTTTCTATAAATATATATATATATATATATTCTGGCTGCTGGCTGCTGACAGTATTTTTATTATTTTACTAAATGAGTACTGTGATTGCTGATTGCCTGCTGATAGTAAATAAATAAATATGTACCGAGCACATACAAGTACTGAATTGCTGATACTGGAGCGAGTAGTGTACCAAACTGAACCCCCCCAGTCCCCCACGAATCCTAGACCCCAGGACCCCGGTCCCAGAGGCTACTAGAAGAGCCCCGGCCTCAGACCTCAGGCCTCAGGCCTCAGGCCTCAGCAGCAAAGCTGTTTAGTCCTGAGACTCCTGACGCCGCAGACTCTGGGCCTGGGGGGCTGGGAGCCAGGGACGGAGCCTGGGACTCTGGGTGACAGTGCTGCCTGTGAGTCGCTGAGTGCTGAACTGTTGACTGTTGAGTGTTGACTGTTGACTGTTGAGTCTTGACTGTTGAGTCTTGACTGTTGAGTCTTCAGTGCTGAGTTGCTGACCTCCTGAGTGCTGAGAGCCTGTTGAGCTGATGCTGAGAGTGGCTGACAGAGCTGAGCGACTCTTGATACCTCATCCCACTATCTGCGTTTTTTGATATAAAAAATATATTAAAAAATAGTTTATCTAGAACGCTAATGGCTACCTGGCTATCACATATCTGGCTACCCCGCTTTCGCATATCTGGCTACCCGGCTATCGTATATCTGGCTACCCGGCTATCGCATATCTGGCTTACTCTGGCTATGCACAAGGACAAGATTTTAATTTCATAAATAAATAAAAAGGGCACACAATCTATCATTCAATTGGCTCTAGGTTTTCATACTGAGGTGTTATCATTTAGGAGTAAATATTTGTGACTTTAGAAGTTTGCTCCAATTGGGATATTACTTAGGAATCACTATTATATTTTT